ACGCAGCTGGTGTGAGCATGCCGCCCGGCGGGGCAGTGGCAGCGCGGGGGGGGGGGTTGGGGGGGGCGGGGGGGGGGGGGGGGGGGGGGGCGGGAGATCATTATTGACAAGAGAGAACGAACAAAGACGTAACAATGGGAGTGATTTTGGGCGGAAAGAAGAAAATGCATATGACGATAGATGACAATTAAAATGAAATCACGTACTTCAAATGGGTTGACAGAGGAATTGGCATCAAAATAGTAAGGGAATTGTATCATCGAATTTATGTTGTCCGCAAGTTGATAAGGGGGTTGGACGTTGCCATTGTTCGTGATCATGTGACCAGATCCATTGCTGTTGTGGATTCCATGAACGTCTTGACGGTCGTTGACGTTATCGTTGGTCTTCACGTTTTCCATTTCGCCGAGCAATCTTGGGGAACTCTCAGAAGGTGTGAACATATCTTGGTATGTTGAGACTGACGCGCCTGTTAGAGGGAAAACTGCGGGAGGATACTGATACGCGTGATTTATCGCTATTGTTTAGAAAGGAAAGGAAAGAAAAAGAATCGGATGTTAACAATTGTTAATAACAAAAAGGAAATGGTCAAAAAAGGAAACAAAATAAAAGGAAGGAAAGGAAAGAAAAGGAAAGGAAAAACAATGGAGAAGAAAGAGTGCGGGTGCCAACCGAAAAGGAGTGGCATTGTTACAAAAGCGAAGAACGGAATCGAAGGAAGGAAAAAGAACAGGACCTCGGTTCAGCATCTTGCCCGCTTACCTTGTTGTAAAACGGTGTTGCCACTATCAAGAGCAAAGTTGACAACCGACATGTCGGCAAAAAAAAAAGAGAGATGAAGGGTATTTTATAGAAATGGGAAGATCGATTGTGGAAAGAGATTGCAAGGAGATAGTAACGGGAAGCAAAGAATTGATGGAAATTATTGCCACAACTATTTACAAAAAAAAAAGGAAAGAAAGACAAGAGAAGAGAAAAAATAGTATACAAAAAAAAAAGAATGCAATAAATGTACAATGATGAAGGATCACGGACAAATTCACAAGTGAGAAAATCAGCAACAAACAATACAAAGGGGTTTCCGAATGAACGGGAGTTGGTGGGTGGATGAGTGAGTGTGTGTGTGAGCGAGTGAGTAGGGTAGTGAGCAGGTGGGTGAGCGAATGAGCAAACGAATGGATGAATGAATGAATGAATGAATCAATGAACCAGTGGAAAATATGTAGGGGGCGTGTGGTCAGTTAATGGGGAAAGTGATGATGAACGGTGTGTGGTGCAAGCAAGATTTATCAAGGGGTTTATAGCTTGTATCGAATGGTGATAAGAAATGAACATAAGACTCGTTATAAAAAGAAAATCTCTTCTCGGCGGAAATAGGCGATCTGATCAAAATGCACTATTTCTGTCAGATATTATTTTTAAGTGGGTGTGTGAGTAAGTGTACGTGTGTCTCTCTTTCAGTCAAACTACAAAGAAAATTTCAATACTATGCCAAGTCCCTTTCTTTATTCTTTTTTAATTTATTTATTTATCTTTATTATTTTTTTTTTTTCAAATTGAACAAATTGTTTGGTTCTCGTTTGTGATGGAAACAGGAAGCGTAGGTGGTGTGTGGTAGAAGCGACTTGCGGATGCGGCGGACGTATCACGGAGGGAGAGAACTTGCGAGGTGAGGTTGAGAATCATTAACAACCAGCAATCGCAATGCTCAATTGGAAATTTAGACAAAGAGTAAACTGGGTTATATATTATATTTATGAACAACAAAATATATATATATATATATTTATACATACATGTATATATCCATACCTACATATATTATTTATTTTAAAGGTTAGCAGAATCCGTAAGACAGTTACGTACCATGTACTGCGAACGGTGTGCGCCCGTAATAAGGACAACATAAATTTAAGGGATATTTTTGTATGCAGAGATAATGCTCGCAGTGATTCCCTAATGTCACGCATGAGATGTGCGTGTTGTTGGTTGAGTCAACAGTGAAAACTTAAAAGTTACATTAGGAAAAATTTCACAATTGTGATATATAATATAAACATAATTGGCAGACGAAAAATTGAAGGGAAGAAAGACGAGGGTGAACATCAATTAATAATTGTTTCAAAGGTAGAGAGGTTTTGGAAATGCAAAGTAATCCCCAAATGAGAAATGGGAGAACTTATCAGTGTAAAGGTAGTCTTAATGATATCATTTTTGAGCTAGGACAAGAAAGGAAAACTCAAGAGGGTGAGGCGAAAGAAACCAAGACATATTTGTCCATCCTAAAAAAAAAATTATTATACGTTTTGCTGTTGAATACATGATATCATTGCACAGCCGTTCCGTAAAAAGAGGATTACGCACAAGCCCAATTCAACCGCATTGTTTTTTTTTGACTTCAAAACGTACATGTACTGTATATACAGTCTAATATTTAAGCAGTACAGTATGATCCATTTGTTTATATTACCGTCATCTCTACTACTATTATTATCACCATTATTATTATTATTATCTTACATACCCTATTTGGCACATTTTACGTAATACCGGTCACCCACCCATGCTATACTAAATATGCGATTGCAAAGAAGATGGACAAAAAAGACGCCAGTATACTGTTGAGAATATTATGAAATATCTCCATTTTTAACTGATTGAATTTGGAGGTAGATTTTTTGAGAATTTTGCGATCCATCATCAATCAATTCACGTCGTGCGTGTATCCCCCGTCAACCATCATGGAATGATAAACGCACACGAGAACTATTGAAGGAAATTTGCTTAATTACGAATGTACAAACTGTGAATTTAATATCCGATTCGATGTCAGTCAAATAATACATACAACAATAGTTCCTACTTTATAACAAAGGGATTGTATAAATCTTCCCAGTGGTGATGACATCACCTTCTCCACAAAACCCCCGTTGGTCTTAATATTCTTGCATTTGCGAGGTTTAATTTGTTCACGTTTGCGCACACACATTCGAGGTTTTTTTTTTTTCGCGTTCTCCTCAAAAACAAAAAAAAGAAAAATTTTTAAATTGGTCATCATTTACCTGCTGTCGTTGTTCTTTCTTTTTTCCTTTAATATAAACCCCTCGCGGCTTAATTACGCAACACACACACGTATGTATGAATGTGCTGATGATAACCTATAAGTGTATCTGCCCTAGATGATTCTGTTCTTCAGAACGTGATCTCATCCAACGGACAGGGGAATGAATGTTCGTCATCACAAGGAAGATAGATGACAGAACGGCCCTGCAATAATGATAAATAATAACTAATAAGGAGGCGAACTTACCGAAATCATTGGTGAACCTCCGCCAATGCCTTTGCCCTGCGCGCAGGAAAGAAACCAAGCGGTGAAACCTCATAATGGCTGCATGAATAGAAATTAAGGTACCTTTCATTCACCTTATTTTTGGTCGGAGCGATTAGGACCATTGTATGAACAAAAAAAAAAATAATAATCCATCATTACCGCGTACGGTAGATGTCGCATGCAAAAAAAAAAAATTTAAAGAAAAACCTATCCACATCAGAAAGGGTGCATTACAATGAATTCGTTAAAATTATCATTTTCGCGATGATGAGAGGCTCCCAAAGTGTATCAAAACAAATACCACAAATACCGTATATGTTTGATGAAATGACGAAATAATGCGATCGATAAGTAAAATGTGCATGCCGATCAATTGATTATTTCATTATTCCACCTGGTTACCCTAGCATACAAGTTCCGTTTACGTATATTGGACTATTTGGTTTCACGGAAACCATATCGATCGTTGTTATCAATCTCATCAACACGTTCTCAACAATTGAAAGAAGGATTACAAATAACATTACATAAGTCTAGTTATTAGTGGTCCCCTGCCCATTTTTTTTTTTTTATTTATTATTCATCAATTTGTTTGTTGAAAATCCTGTGAAGCCACTGCTCCTTTTTCCAAACAAGTTTTGTGCTTACCATTCAATTTCAACATGTACCACTACTCTATTCAACTTCAATGAACTGTTATTTCCCGAAAAGGCTGATGTATGCATGTACGTTATCTGAGGACCATCGAACTTTAGGGCATGATGAGCTTACTCTTTTCACCGGTAGCAACCGATCCATTGTATTACTTAATCGAAAATTTCACCTAGGCGCGTTGCCTCAACTTTAGTTATTAAGTTTATTCACGTTTATTCATATTCTCTAAATGTGCATCTGCTACTGAAAAAAAAAATAATAAATGTGACACCGCTTACATCGTTCCCGGTTCGCCGATTCATTGATGACATAATCCCCGCGCGATACGATTCAAACGCGATTACGTGCTTAATTTTCTGTATGTATGGCCGCCTTAAAGGATCGAAAACTTTTTTAGTGATCAAGGCAATCCATTTAGGGATTACGCTTTCGTCACCACCGGTAATTACAGTATAATAATAATCTAATGCATCAGATAACAAATAGTAAAATAATGTTTCTCTCGCTCATTCATCCTCATTCAATTAATTAAGAAAGCAATAAACAGGGCGTACGTTTCTTTTCCCGTCCCGGCTCTCGCGCAAGTGCATGTGCTGACACAGGTTTGATGAATGCAGGATTTTCTTTGTAGTCATATTCTCATGCCTATCTATCCCACCAGAGACAAGGTATGTGCATCTTCTCGATGCAGAAACTTTCACATTTGGGCGGATTATCCGCAAATCTGGACGTCAAAAACAATCACTTTTTTCTCATTCAATTACTCCGAAAGAACAAGACACTCAAACCAATCTATTGTCAATTGTATGTATGCTAGCATGCTAGATGCCTTCCATTACGTATTTGCGCACACTGGCAACTCTCAATGCATAAGTTTATCTATTTGGTGCATATGCATACACTTGCCTGTGAGAAAAAGATTTCTGAAAAAAAAAACAGACGACATACCAAAATGGTAATAACAAACTCCAAGCCATTACGCTTTATCTTATCCGAAATTATAAAACAATGCATCAATGTATCTCCGTGCCACGAGAATTACGCAAGTTTTTTATATAATACATATTTGAAAATAAATTTAATTAGGAAAATACTGATTGCGCTTCTAAAATAATAATAATAATAATAATAATAATAATAAATTGCAATTTAAAACCATCTCTTCAAGATAAAAATAGGCTATACTACTATTTATTTTTTGTTTTTGTTCACAGACAATTAATTAAATGGTTTTTTTTTCTTCAAAGATGATAAATAAGTAAATGTCTTAATTATTATACCTGATTTAAAACCGGATATCAACAGGATCATTACATAACACAACTCAAATTAATGACGATTAATATGGTAACTCTGTATAATCAAAAACATGCTTTCATTAAAATTTATTATATTACATACTGTATATACAGTATATCAGCACATATTTGTTTGTACTGTATATACTGTATTAAAATTAAATTAAATTAAATGAAATTAAATCAGATTTTGAAATTCAATATAATCATATCATAATCATATTAAAAAAAATTAGTAATAAAAAATCAATAAATTATTTAATTAAGATAAATAAATTAATATTATTCTATGATTTTTTTTATAAAATCAATTTGTAATTATTAAATAATTTATTTAAAAATTTTATAAATTTTTTAATTTTAATTTTTTTTTATATTAAATTAATTTTAATTTTTAATTTTTAAATTTTAATTAATCTATTAAAAATTTTTATTATAATAAAAATAAAATATTTTAATCAGAATTTATATATAAATTTTTTAAAAAATTAATTTTATAATAAATTTTATAATAGTTAATTATAAAACAAACCAACTTATTTATTATTATTATTAAAAAATTATATTCAAAATTTTAAAGTATTTGAATATAAATTTATTTATTTATAACAAAAATAATTTGTTTAAAAAATGTTGTTTACTACTGTATAAATATAATTTTATATTATTTTTAAATTGAAATATAAACAAAAAATATAACATAATATATTATTAATAAAACTATAATAATATTAAAACAAAATTTTATATCAAGTTTATTTAATTAAATTATTTAAATTTATAAATTTTGTAATTTCAAATTTGTTTTTTTTAAATAATATATTTGATCTTATATCAAATATTTCAATTAAATTTAAATTTGAATTTTAAAAATTAATTCATGATTTAAACTTTAGTATTAATAAAAAACTTGTTTAATTTTTTTTTAATAAAATTTGATTTTATATTGTTTGATTAAAAATTACAAATAATTATTATTTTAAATATTAAAAAAAAATAATTTTAAAAATAATGTAAAATACTTATAAAAAATATTAATAATCTAATATTTATATTAAAATCTTAAATAAAAATAAAAATTCAATATTATATTATAAAAAATAATTTTATATTATTTGATTTTAATTATATTTATATTTAACAATATTTATTAAATATTAAGTATTTTATTTTTTAATAGTTTATATTATATACAACAATATAATTTAAATTAAAAAAAATTAATATATTAAGTACTATATATTATTTGATAATATTTAGCTTTATTAATAATTAAATTAAGAAACAACAAAAAAATTTTATAAAAAATTTTTAATAATCCCCAAAAAATAATTAAGATTAATTACTTATTTATTATCTTAAAAATAATAATTTGAATATAAAAAAATCAATCTATTTTCAATTAATTAAATTCAAGTTTAAATTAAAATTAGTAATACTATATGACGACGACTGATCTATGAAAATGGGTAGTTGGTGATTTGGGGTCGAAATTGAGTTTTTGTGTGGGATATATACTTGGGGATGCTATCTACCTTGTGCCGTTTTCCCGACCTCAAGTGTAATAGTAAAGTTTTTCACAACAGCAGTTAGAAGTTTGATAGCACGATACAAGCAAGGTCACCGAAATCTCAAATCCGTACCCTAAAATTCTTGCCGATCATCACAATAATAATACTGTAACGGTGTAACGGCGAGTCTGTCACTCACTCTAGCAGAGACTCGCGTAACCATTATCAGGTAAGTAAATGAAAGGGTGATTTGAGGCATGTTTTATTTAACCAAGTCTTTATTAATTTTCTTCTCTAATTGTTTTCTCACTCTCTATCTTTTACATGCCATTTATACTTCTCTTTCTTTACATCTGGCTATGGCAGCTTAGCCATAAAATAATAGACGCTAATACAATGGTATGGCTAAAGCTAGATGACATAATTCTTTTTCACATCTCTTCCTGATTACCTAATTATCACAGCCGTCTTGTCATTAACGCGACAATCGGTCACGTGACGGACGTCGCGTTCCATTTTTACC